TCAATTGCCATCTGTAACAATAGTGTACTTAAGGCAAGGTCTGATGCATATGTTTTCATTAAGAATACATTACAAAAGTCGATATAATATAAAGTTGGTGTAAAAATAAATTCTTTCTTTAAAGCAACAAATAATGCTTTGGCTTCTTTATTCCACTCAAGTTTGTCTTTACAAGTCAAATGTGTAAGTGGAGTTACAACTTGAAAAAAATTCTTCATAAAGATTTGATAATAATTGGTAAAGCCCAAAAAGCATTGCACATCTCTTACTGTTCTTGAGATCTTCCAATCTTATGATAGTTTGAACCTTCTTTGGATCCATCATAAGGCCTTCATTGGAAATGATATATTCCAAAAAGTCAACTTGAGTAGTGTGGAATACACACTTTTCTATCTTTGCATATAATCTTGCATCTCTTAGTTTTTGTAATACACAATGAACATAAATTTTATGTTCTTTTGTATTCATTCAATGTTAAAAAGGATACTAGTGTATTCGTGAATCCAAAAGACATAATATTATATTCAAAATATCCATACTTAGTTTAAAAAATAATCTTTTATTCATCTCATTCTTTGATGTGGACTAGGCTATATGCTCCTTATAGATCTATTTTTGTATAGATCTTTGCTTGATTTAATTGATCAAGAAGTCCTGAAATCAAAAGTATATGATATCTATTCTTGATGGTGATCTTATTAAGTCTTCGATAATCCACACACATCTCTAGAGATCTGTCTTTTTTCTTCACAAATAAGATAAGAGCAATGGCTAGAGATTTAAAATGGCATATAAAGTTCTTAGCTAAGTTTTTATCAATGTATTCTTTGAATACAACTAAGTCATTTTTTCATAGGCTATAGATTAGTCCAAATGGTGGTTAGTTCCTTCTTAAAGATCAATGACACAATCATAAGGATGATGCTTCAAAAGAATATTTTTATTTTTCTTTTAAAAAATATCCTAAAAATCTTTATACTAGCTAGGAATACTACTTGATATCTTCTCACCATCAAAAATAGATATGGAATATATAGCAAAAGATGGCCCTTCATTTGTGGCATGTATAAAAGCTCTTACACCTACCAGTAAGGATTTGAATATACTAAACTTATGGATTTCTACTTGCTTAGTAAGACCTTAGGCTAAACTATAGAAAAAATCAAAATTGTAAGAAATGTAGTTTATCTGAGGAATATATCTTTCTAACCTCAATAATCCTAAAATTATTGAGTTAGAAGGAGATTTAATCACATTAAATATTAATAAACTATTGTGACCACTAATTGCTACTTCTACAAGAATAGTTTAATGTGCAACATCTCCAAAAGATAATGAATGTCCATGTATTACTTCTATATGTATAGGTTTGATTTTCTTAACTAAAGATATATCTTATTTTTTGATAAAGACTTCATCTATAAAAACAAGCTAAGGCTCCTAAATCCAACAAAGCTAAGACTTTGTGATTTTTTAGTCTTAAGCAGACTTCTATTGTAAAACAAGGTGAGGGATTAGAGGAGAGAATAGGACCTTTACTAGATATTGCACATGATTCTAGTTACATGGTACCTATTGTAATTGGAACAACTTATTTTTTGACACATTGTCTTCTTTGGCAATTGTGCTTCTCATTTTGCAATTGCATTGTTTCTTTGTATAATATTGAGTAGTATATTTAGCTTTTCTACAATATAAGCATAAGCCTTCTTGACATTGTCAACTCTTTATCTACTATGTAAGGAATTTAAAACATACCTTATCAATTTGCATTAGTTCTAGCTTTGATAAAATAAGTTTATGAAAACTTAGGAGTTGCAATCATTATTTGATTTGTTCCTCTTTATCCATATTTTTATTCTTGATATCTTTCAAATAATCGATTATCACATGCAATGCCTTAAAAAATAAATTATTTAAAAGTTTCTATCTTTAGTATTGTTAATAACAAGTCTTTGACATTATTCTTCAATCCATATCAAAATTAATTGATAAGGGCTTTGTCATTCCAATCCACATCGCAAGCAAGGTTTTAGAATTGAGTAGCATATGGTTAACTTGTAAATAAAATAAATAATTTCCAATTAATTATATAAGTATTTACTAAAATATCTATGTATTTTTGTGACACTTATACCAAAATAAACATAGTCTTTCATTTCTACAGATTTTATTATGAAGCTTCCAATCTCAAGTTCTTATGATTTTATAATTGTAATAGTAGATTATTCTACCAAAATGGCACATTTTATATCATAAACAAAATCTATAAAAAGTAAAGAAATAACTTTAAAAAAATTCATAATATTTTTTGCTATCATAGATTGTCAAAGAATAACATATTCAATCAAAAGACTCAATTTTTATCAAGATTTTAGACAATATTTTTTAATATATTGTAGGTGGATATAAAACTATCTTTGCTTTTCCATCCTCAAATTCATGGACAAAAAGAACATGTCAATAAAGTATTTGAGCAATATTTCAGATGCATTATCAATTACTTTCAAAATTATTTAATAATTCTTTTGCTATTAGCAAAATTTGTTTATAATAATACAATACATTCTTCTATCCAAAAAATATTTATTTTTTCTAATTATGATTTTTTATCTACAACTTGATATTTTTGACATCTTAGTAGTTGATAAGTCTATAGAAGAAGAAATGAAAAATTATTTATGAAAATTATATCCAATAATAAAGCTTTAAAATAACAAAAAATTAATATAAATATCTATTATAAGAAACAACCTCAATTCCACGTTAGAGACAAGATATGATTAGTCTATTGTAATATGAAGACTAATCGCCTTTGTAAAAATTGGATTACTATAGACTTGAATCATTTCCTATTAATGAACAAATCAATCGAGTTACATATTGATTATATCTACTAGACTCAATAACGATCTATTATGTGTTCTATATACCTCTTTGTGATCCATATAAGACTATGGATATATCAAAAAAAAAAAAAAAAAAAAAAAAACACCTCATCCTTTAGAAATGGATGATAATCAAGAATTTGAAGTTGAAGAGGTTATAGATACTAGGCAATGCTAAAAGAGTTTGGAATATCTTATATATTGGTACAAATATGGTATTAATAAAAGCACATGGGAGCCAATAAGAAATCTTACAAATACAGCAAAGAAGGTTCATGTTTTTTATCAATACCGTCTATCAAAACTAAACTGAAGAATCAACATGTGATCATATTTCTTTATAAAATTTTTCTCTCAAAGGAGGAGTAATATCATAGACATATACAATAAAATGTGTCAAGTAGAAGATAAACATAAGTAAATTTAATATTACTTTATAGAAAAGCTTTTTAGAAGCTTTATAGATGTGGATTTGACTTTGTATATATTTGTAGTTGATTGATAGGTTGAAAATTCTGCCAACAAATTAGCCATGTATCACATTTGTTAATGATTTGTCATACAAGTTGACCATGTGGCGTACATGCAAGAAATTTGTCTTGTAAGTAAGACATGTGTCTTATAAATTAGACATGTGTAAGTTGTCCTATAGAACATTGCTACATAGCTCCTAATTAGATAGTATATATGGAAGAAAGAGTGAAGACTTCTTTACTATTATCAATGTCTTGCTTAATATAGATTCAAGAGTCTCTAGCCTTCTTATCTTTGGCAATAGCTATTCTACTTCTAATACTATATTACTTTTGAATGAATATCTATTCTTTTTTAGTGACATAAGAATATATAGAGGTTTATTTGTTTGTAATTCATATCTTTGATAGTTCTTCAATGAATCTCTTTTGTAGCTTGCATTTAAATAAGTAGAGCAATCAACAATAGAAGCTTTTTTATTCTTAGTGCCTTCAATAATCTTTTTATCTAAAATTTGTAGGATAAATCAATGTTTATTACCAAAGATTTATAAAGTTATTTCTTTATCTTACTAAGTATCTTAAAATGATGAGATATTTATAGAAATTGATCAATACAAAATATGATCAATTTCATATTACTATTTAGCCTCTTATATTCTTAATTATAAGATAGTTTTAAAGATGAATATTTTTTTAATTTGAATATATTCTCAAAAACTTGTATTTATATTTAATATATACCTTCTATTGCAATACATATATTGTCTTTATTTAATAGTCCAAATTGATTATACTTCTATTAAAAGTCTTTATTTATTAGTTGATTTGTCATCTTGACTTCTTCATCTATCTCAAAAGAGTTTTAAACCATAAAAATTGTAATTCTTATTATTTTCTACAATAGTGACATTAGATTGCCCCTACATATTTAACAATTTTATTCTTTTTGTTTTGGATATATTTTTATGACCAACTTATAAGGTGTGCTCAAATCCTATAAAATAAATAATTATAAATCTCAGACCTATTTTGTATGCAATGGTGGCTATTAAAAATTATAAAATGTATTGAGACTAATCAAATAAATCTTTTTATAGTTGGTTGTTTCTTATCATCTTTACTATTATAAAAATGATTCAAAAACTATTATATTTTTTTTTCTAAGGTTTTGTTATTCAACCTATGATTTTGCTATGCATGTGCATACATTGACAAGTGTGAGTATGGACTTGGTGTTGTGCAACTTGTAGACAATCTCCTCCTTTCTTGTTATTGGACTACTTTCTAATAGCAAATACTAATTTGATTTTAAAAAGTTATTTTGACTAAGGTTCCTTACATTGCTGGACAAAGAGTTAACGGTCGAGTATACCTTCTGAAAACATATTGTTGGGTGGGCCATAGAAATCAACATGGATTAATACTTTTCATTTTTTTGGTGGAAGGTTCAAGTAAGATTTGGTAGAATCCATGATTTGCTTTATTAAATAGATGTGATAGTGGATGTTTTGCAAGCAGATACTTTTAATGGAGAGGGTCAAAAGATCTGATATGTGACATTTCTCGTACAATTTCAAAAGAAAATGTATCAACAAAACGCTGCAATCAAAGAGAGAAATTCCCCATACTCTGGACAGTAACCAAACATCATCTCAACCCAGTTAAATGCCCTTTGCTTACATGAGGAGTCAATAGGATTAGAATCGAACAGCTGCAGAACAGCAAGCTGTTTTTGCTAAAGATCCAAAAACCAAGGACCATGTTTATAAGACAGCGAACATTACACTCACCTATTTCGCAACCCTTAAGTAGCGCAATGTTACAAAGAGAACACAGGAATACTTGGTGAGGAGAAACATACCCTAAACTAAATCAGAGATCCACTTAGTAGCAATCAGTTGTCTGAGTTTCGGCTGTAGAATTCGTCTAGAGTCTTCGCGGGAATACGACGTAGAAGCTCCCTAGGGAAAATACGAAGTAAGGACCAGGCAAGGTCCAATGACTGAAAAATGTCACGGGTATCGTAAGGGCCTTGAGCCACAAACTTCCGCTCGAACTTGTCAAGAAATTCCAAATACAACTGCATAGAGCCGGTTGAGAGTGTCATTAGGGAGTGAAAAGCTTCAGACCAGAGATAACGTACTAGAGATAATGTTCAAAACCATCAACATATGGAGATTTCATTGTAGGATGTCCACTGCGTAACGGGCAAATAGAATGAGATGGATACCAGATCCTCTGAAGACAAGGCTTCTTCTCCCACCACAGCCTTCATGGCTTGTACATCCTTTCCAATCGCATAGTTTGCGTACAACTGCAATGGGTAGACACCATGTTAAACCCAAAGTCTTGACTCAAGCAGACTTCATCAGAAAAATGGGGAAGTTGATGGCCACAAATGATGCTCTCATGTGTATTCTCAGCGCTCTCATATGTCATATTACAGTGAGAGTAATCAGATCAAAAAATAGCGAAACGAGCTTTTCCTTGAGATTGAAAAGCCAATTCCTGACTGCACAAATGACAATAACCTCACGACTCTAACCAAAAAGTATGCGTACCTGGTTAGAAACTTCGGAGTGATCTTTCCGAGTCATTCCCTGTCCAATAGCACTCTGCAAATACAAACTGGCTTCGTCAGCATCGATACTGGTACATCAATGCAATAGCCCACATCTCACCAGAAAAATGATATCTCTTCAAGTCGTATTACAGTGAGTATAATCAGATCTAACAACATTGAATGCATTGCATCCAAGTAGAGTAAATACACACAAAATATCGTCTAGCATGATACAATATCCATTCTACCACTTGAAGAATATATTGTACGCAGATGTAGGATCGCACCTTCATCAGTCGAGACAGAGATGGCAGAACATTAATAGGCGGGTAGATCTGTATCACGAGCACCATAACAATAAATCAACTACAGTCCCTCTATCTCTCTCTCTCTCTCTCTCTCTCTCTCTCTCTCTCTCCTTGATAATAAAACGAGATTTCATAATTGTCGTTACATTACTACAATGTTCGTGTCAGAATAAATCAACATTAAAAAAAAGCGATTAATACATACAAAAAAACACAACATCACAAAGCAAAATAACACCACTGATAAACCCAATTCAGGGATTGAGCACATACCTGTCTGTTTTGTAACTGCCGATCAACATAAATTTGACCTTCCGTAATATATCCTGTAAGATCAGGAATTGGGTGGGTAATATCTGCACGAAATGCCACAAAGGTGAAGCTTAGTACAGACAAGGAGAAGTCCACAGTCGAAGACTGCACGCAGTCAAGAAAGAGCAAAAATAATATAACAAAGTAAAATGCCCATTTCAAAGAAAGCAAATACTGAAACTTGATGACAAAGGAAGGATGCAACTGACCATCATTCGGCATAGTTAGAATAGGAATCTGAGTAATAGATCCTTTACGGCCTTCGATTCGTCCAGCACGTTCATAAATGGTGGCCAGATCAGTATACATGTAACCAGGATATCCACGACGCCCAGGCACTTCTTCACGAGCAGCAGAAACCTATTTGAAGAATTGAGAGTGGAAAAAATTTGTAGCACACTGAAGGTCTTAATTAAAAACCAACTGAATAGATTACAAATTTGCTTAAAAACTATTTCAGATACCAACTGCGGAGTAGCATGTAGAATTTCACAGGAGCTAACTTCTGAAAAAGGAGTCCAAGCGAAAAGTCTTTAAGAGAAACACTTGTACCTCACGCAGCGCATCTGCATATGAACTCATATCCGTCAGGATGACCAGGACATGCTTCCCACATTCATAAGCGTAGTATTCAGCAGTAGTAAGGGCGATTCGAGGAGTGATAATCCGTTCAATCGTTGGATCATTAGCCTGCAAGCCCAAGAGAGATTCGAACTTAAATTCTAAATATAAGACTTACCACAGAAATTGTTCGAGGAAAAAGAAAGAGGGAATGGAAGAACATTGATTTCAAGAAAATTTTAAAACACTCCACGCTTCCATCCAGAGTACAACCAGGACGAAGTTGAGTATGTACTCCAATGCTGTGGTAGAGGGATACAGGAATATTAAGATTGAAACATACCAAGTTGAGAAAAAGTGTCACTCTCTCCATAGATCCATTTTCTTCGAAATCACGTTTGAAGAAAGTAGCTGTCTCCATGTTAACTCCCATAGCAGCGAAAACGATACAAAAGTTGTCTTCACCGGGCTCATCCTCCAAGAGGTTTTTCTCCTTCTCCAACCGCTGGACAAGACCAGCTTGACGACAAATTTGTGCGGCAATCTCGTTGTGAGGAAGACCAGCAGCAGAAAAGAGAGGAATCTTTTGTCCTCTAGCGATGGAGTTCATGACATCAATCGTAGATATTCCTGTCTGAATCATCTCCTCAGGATACGTCCGTTCACTTGGATTGATCGAAGCACCTGAGGTCATGTCAAATTGACTAATAAGCAAATCTCTTCAATCTTTAAAAAATATTCCAAGATGCTGAGGTTAGTGGAAAAGACAAGCAAAAGACCGCACCTGAAATGTCAAGGTAGGCTTCTGCAAGAATGGGAGGGCCGTTGTCAATGGGTTTCCCAGAACCATTGAAGATACGTCCAAGCATGTCCAATGAGACCGGTGTTTTGAGTACCTAAACCATGAAAGAGAAGAAATTTAAATCATTAATCAAATCAAAAACTGAAGACGAACAACATTACTTAAGGTAAAACAGAAAACAATTCGGGCAGGAACGCTGACAAAGAACATCGAACTTGCAATAGCAATTTGCGGAGACGTAGTAAGTAATGCAAAGTAGTTTGCAAACTAGAGGGTAGGGTCCGTCGAGGCCAGATGCATTCACGTTAAGTAAATAAAGAACTCACGAAAGTATACTAAGAAATCAAATTACCTCTCCAGTGAATTCAATGGTGGTGTGCTTGTTATCGATTCCAGAAGTTCCCTCAAAGACCTGGAAGGCAATCAAATATGAGTCAGTCTAAACACTCATACGAAAATAAACATTGTCACAATCTAATCAGATAGCAGTCTGACCTAGACAGAGGGAGAGCTAAAGTTTTGCGATGGCTACAATTTTCGAGACTAAGAAACCGATACAAACCTGGACAACCGCTCGATCACCATCCACTTCCAGGACCTGACCCCTTCGACGTGTGCCATCACCCAAACGGAGATTCACAATCTCCTGGTACTTGGGACCCTGTCATGTACAAAGACAGAGCTGTTGCAATTACAACCGAAACGAAAAAAACAGATTCAAACAGTACAAGAGACAACAATACACGGATTCTTAGGTGAAAAATATAACCTTGACTTTCTCAAGGATGACAAGTGGACCGGCTACACCAGACACAGTTCGATACTCTGCACGAAATTGTGAATACCATTAGGAGCTTATCAACTTATCAGGGTATATTACCATACAACTGCAAGAAGCTCCAACACACAATACTACAAAGAAAATACCAAAGATATATTCAAAGCATACGTTTATGAACAGAACAGGGGTTTCACAGACAAACCTCACGTACTAGGTACGTAAGGACATTCTCTTAATTCGAATGAAAAGAAACGTCGAATGAAGAAAAGAAGGCGGAACCAGAGAAAGTTTCAATTGGGCGTACCAAGTAGAGGCTGGCACTCGTAACCTCCAGCAGCTTGACCGTTAGCAACCATTTTGACCTGCGCTCAAGAGCTCCCGCAATGGAAGCTGCCAAAGAAAAACTAGAAAGATGAACAAAGATTCTACCACTGAATAGCTATCAAGCACAACCCAAATTCAGAAACTGCACAAGATCTTTCAATGAAAGTCCAGCATTCACAACAGAAAGTTCTCGAATGATCAACAGTAAATGACCGAACAATAGAAGGTGAATATGAAAATGAAAGTGTTCTTAAGCTGCGGGAGATTGAGAAAGGGTTTCCAATCATAGAGACAACTCACTCCCTCAATACCCTAATTCCAACTGCAGCTCGGTCCGACTCCGGAACCCTACAACATGCGGAATAAATTCCTTATCTCTCGTACAACCGCGACCCTCTAGTATCTGACATTCAATGCAGACCCCACTCTGGCGAGACACATGACCTTACCAGAACAAATTGACATAAACTTAGAAACACATTTCCTAACACAACACCTACACCACACAACAATTAACCCTCTCACAACATCTCTTCAATAAAAAAATGCAGATCGCTTCCCCTTCACATTCCTTGAACAAATATCGTGAAAGTCTCAAGGCCCCTGCTTCTGAAACACAAACTGATGGTAGACCATACCACAACCAAAGCATTGAGCTACGTAAATGGCACCACGATTAGAAATTTCTGAACCCTACAGTGGCGATATTCCGAACAATCTCGCGGTAGATTCTAGAAAAGCGCAGCAAGACCTAATCCAACAATCGCAATGGCAATTCTGACAAAAACCAATCGCAATCCGCCATTGTAATTCATTGCCCTCCTTCAAACAAAAACAACCCATCCCAACCTTCCGAATTCATAGCAATCTACACATCATCACGATTCCCCGTCACTGATCCACGAATGCCCCAAAACCGCACAACAATCCAAACCAACATAAAAAGCCGATCGTCAAGCGCACCAAAACTCCAACCGATTACGTCTAGAGACGTATCAAATGCTCAACGCGCGCTTTTTCCGCGAGGCTCAGCAGGAACTAAGCCCGACCCTTCGCAAAACAGAAACAGAGCACTAGAAATAGAGGCCAAAAAAACGACTGTAACGACCGCGAGAATGCACCAAATGATACAATCTTTACCTCGAAATGTAGAAGAGGAGGGCAGCGAACTCGGCAGGTGGTCCGGAGCCAAGATCTGGCAACGGCGATCGAAGCAAAATGGGACTGCGTTGGATCCAGGCAGCGGAATGAGTAGTATGTCGCGCTCTGTTCCAAGGCATCAGAGCTCACTCTGCCTCGCTCCGTGACGCGGTCACCGGTGACCGTCTAACAGGCGGCGTGGTCCACCGGCCAGGCCGGTGGACCTTCTCGCTTGGTCTAAAAACAAACCGCCACCACTTAATGTTCCTTGATCTGGGATTCTTTAAAAATTAAGTAAACAAACAAATAAACCCGATTTTTCATTTTGAGAGAGTCTCGAAGTTTGTTAATCAAGTCTCACTTAATTGTTCTTAGGAATATTCATAAGCTATACATTGTTTATTTACTAACTAAACATGTGTGTGTGCATAGTCCTATCAACGTTTTTTTATACAGAAGATACTGACAAAAAAATGTTTTTTTCTTAAATGGACCAAACCTATGTATTTTTCTGCAACTCGATGTTTGAATGGCTGGGTAGAAATTGATTGAACAATAAGTCCACTCCAAACATCTTTTAAGTGTTAAAGATTACTTCTCACATCTTAAAAAATAATATTATTATCTGTAAAATTCTACAAAACAATTCAAATTAGATATACTATAATTTTATGTTATAATTATTTGGCCGAAGTTAAATTATTTTCTTTTGCATTCAAACCAGTTTAAGTTTTTGAAAAATGATACAAGATGTTAACTATCATGTCCTCTACAAATACCTAGACAAGAAAAAAAAAAAAAAAAAAAAAAAAAAACACTTATTTATATTTTGTTGATTGAATACATGATATTGAGCAAAATCACATGTAAATAAGACTTTTAAAGTTTTTAGAAAGTATATCTAACTAGATAGAAAGATAGATAGATATCACAAAACTACGACAATATAAATTTTCCATTCTTCAAAAAAATAAAAACATAATTTTTTAAAATTAATAATATGGTATTAATAATTTTTCTTGTTTAAATTAATAATATAGTGTATATATTTTTTATATTTAATGGAATATAAATAATCTAAGGAGATCAATGAGAAAAAGAGCCATGTGAAATTTATTCATCAAATTATATTATTTGCAAAATAAATTGTCTATTTCAACAATAGTAAGTCATTATATTTTGACAATAAGATGCCAAACAATAAATATCCAATCAAAATAATTTATTGATAGTTTGAATAGATAAGTTTTAGTTATAATAAAATTTTAATCATAATTTAAGTAAAATAAATAAATTATATAAAGTCTTACAAACTTTATGTGATTATAATTTAATCCAAGTAAAATGGTCATTGGAAAATTAAAAATATTATCTAAAAAATGAAATAAACAAGTAATAGCATTTATTAACTTGTATTATCATTCAAGAAGAATTAATATCAAAGTTTCATTAATGAAAGATAAGAATCTATTATATCATTGGTATGGATGATATGGAAATATATCAAAGGCTCAAGTCTCTTCAAAGGTTTTAACATTCAATTCAATAATATTTAAAGTCTATTAATTCTTGATTTTTTTTTCCAAATAATTGATATTTTCTATTATAATTCTTGGATTTTGCAACAAATGATATAAGTCAACTTTATATTTTATTCAAAATTATTTGACATGATTTTTTAGTTTTATTTTAAACTTTTTTGTTATTTTCAATAATAAAAATATATAACAATATGCAATTATTTATATATATATATATATATATATATATATTGTATTACAATTATATTTATAACGCTCTTCTTAGGAGCGCATGTTTTCTCTATTTTATGGAATTGCATGAACGCCACTTCTATTGCTGATATTCACACTTTTGTGTTGTGCATGGTTCCCTACACGTCTACACTGATGCTCATAGATTGTTGCCTGGATATTGTATTGATGAATTTTTATTTGAGTGATTGGCAATGATTATCTTGAAAACTATTAGTAAGAACAGAAACAGTATGAAATGTATATTAGAATTGACAAAAACATTTGATAAATAATATTACGTTTTATAACACTTTGTTCCGAATATGATTGATTAGGATTCTAATGTTCATTTACAGTTTCCTCATTTCGATTTCATTATTTTACTTTATAAGGAATATTATTTACTAATATTATGATTATGATTTACATTTCGAATCTGTATATTAATCTATAATTGTATCTTTAATTTTGTGGAATTAGTCTGATGTTCAAATGTTCTCATTACTTCTCAAATTTTGACAATACAATGAAAATCATAAAGCATAACCTACACAACAAAATCATTACTGTAAACTTAGAACTCTATAAACTTAAAACTTAATGTACAACCAGTTGAACTTGTTCTATTGTCATAGAAAATATGCAAAAAATTAGTTAAATTCATTCAAGGAACTACTTCTAAGATTTAACCATAGGAAAACAAATAGTGTGCTGTCATTAAATTATGTGTTTTATGTAGAGATTTATATAGAGATGGTTGTTGTGCAGAAATTATCACTTGCCTGAAAATCAACAAAGTGCAAGTCACAAAGCCACAAAGAGCTCAAATTGCAAGTGCAAGTGAGATAGGAGTCATAGCAAGGGAGACCCAGGATCAACAGTGCTATATTACAATGAAATAAAATCACTCGTCAAAAATTTCAGCGACTACAAACACGCATGCAATGAATCAGAACTTGAGGATGCTACTTCGTGACTGCCCCATGTCCGAAATGCACAAATTCGTGTGGCAAATTACTGTTAAGTCAGGATGAATTTCACAAAACCTCTAATTTCCAACAATAACGGTTGCAGTTCGCTTCAGCTGGCAAACTGGCTGGATCTGCAGTAGATGTGGAGCGTGATCGCTACGTAAGTTACTTCAAGTACGAGTCAAGTCGATGAGCTCGAATTGATTTACAAACCATACATACTTGTGTATGCTGAGCTCTAGGATGGGATGACGTTTTCATGGTCACCAACATAAGTCCACGAATAATGCCAAGCACAATCGTACAGACCCCTAGGTTGCAGAAAGATCTACGGCCTTGTCCAGTTGAATGTGAGAGCAGCGTCCAACACCGATAAGCCGCTCTGGTAATTCATCTGCGGTTTCTCCCTGAAAACTCATCAAACATAAACTTTAGACTGGGGTTTAGTGCATCAAAGATGTGCCATGGGCTGATACTTGTCGTGTATAGATTATAATAAGAAATGTGGAGCAGTGATTGAACTGACAATGCGATGCATAGCTCTGCACAGGTAATAACAAATCAAGGGCCAGAAGCCCAGAGAACATCCAATATTTCTTAGCAACAATAAATCTACAACAGTCTAAAATAATTGCCAGGGGAATGCATAATGAAAGTGTGGTGAAAGATGGTGGCAGGAACACAAGTACCCTAATGAAAAAGGCCATGTCTACGACGAGGGCAGATATATAACCAAAAACTAAGCTCAGAACTCCTCGGACCACCCCTGAGGATCCAAGATTTAGGTCTATCTGTGGATACCACCAAGTCGCACGAAGGTAAGCAACAGACGGATATATGTATATATATATATATATATATATATATATATATATGTATAGTAATTTTTATGCGAGTACCCACCGGATTTATACTTTAACACAAAATAACAAGATCGAAGTGTCATTCACTAAGTAGGATATTGTGCTGTGCAATCCTTTAAAGGTTCAGCACTGTACCTCCATATAGTTAAATCCAACATGATACTTGACTTCCACAATCTGACCCAAGGGAACAGACTTTGTTCCAACGGCTTGTCTTACTATCCAAGAACCCTGTCATTCACAAAGCGTAAGTCGTGATCTTCGACGGTCGAAACTAAACACACACAAAATACTCGTCTTATTGCAAATTATATATTGTTAAAAGAATGCGGTTTATATGAAGAAGATTCATTTGGAGAGTTACACACAAATCGTAATCACTCCATTTCCCACACCTAGCGTTATAGATATAATGACATCATATCAAAACTGCACATGTACCTCAGGGATAGCCGGTATGAGGGAGAGCCTGCTGTTTCGAAAGGTATCATCTCCAGATATAAATCTATGAAGAAGGGAGCCTTCGACAATCTCTTCCTCAGTCACGAAGTAGAAGACCCAGCTATAATGTGAAGTGTAGGGAATCTATACACATATTCCATGGTAGTATTCGATTTTTGATAAGAAAATGATGTTACAAGTATCAATTATTATTTGAAACACATTAAGTAGCCAATAGAACACCCACGAAACTGATCCCTTTGGACGTCATTTCAAGTTACAAACTGAGTATGAAGATTATTGTACCTGCAAATTGACGACAAAGAAAAAAAGGCCTTCCTTTGAGCACGCCCTCTGTATAATGAACAATCGCCCAATAGGCAGTAGCATCAGCTTGGATTATACAAACTAATTACACAAAATTCATCCGTCTCACTATGCTCTTAATCTTATCTGAAGAACTCGACATGGTAATGGTAAAAAGCGCTACACAATTCCTAGTCATGTGCGTAGCCTGGCTTACTTATAATTTCAAACAAATGAGGCGAACCTGAACAAGGCTTCGAGATCTTCCTGCTACATGATCTATTCTGTCTTTAGACTTGAACCAATCCATCCCTATCAATTTGCAAAAGGGCTGACCTGCAGGAACCTGCTCACCAAATAAAACATGGTCAAATCGTCTTCATCAAGTGATAGGTGCAAGTCTTTCATCTAGCTGGAATATGTAATAAAGTACACGATCTGTCACCTAAGGCTCATTCAACAAGACTAAATGTACTTGTGGTTCGGAAAATGACATACAGAAATTCAAGAACTCGGTCAGCCACCTTATCCAAACATTGTACAGAAAGGAGAAGTGCTCACTCTTGATCCAGTTGAAAGGGAATTAATACCCTGAAGAAGGAAGACACTGCTATCAGGCTCCGAAAATGAATGTTTACCACCTTGCAGAGGTCCTCTAACTACATTCCCTCTGAATTTCGACAAGTCATATATCCCACGGTCTGCAATCACCACCTCATTAGTTTAATTAACACTCATGATTGTAGGTAGGTGACCATAAATTGTAATTGCACTCATCCCTGCATTACCTAAATGAGTATCAACTGTGTGAACCATATTGGTTCTGGTACTCTTCTATGAACCCAGAAAGACTGGTTCCAGGAAAAAAATATAGTCTCCACTATTCAACACGAATTTTGTTACAGGGAGCACCTGTCACACCTCTCATATTTCAAGATACTATCAAACTGCCATAAATTGAAAAAGTTACAGTACCTGATCGAACTTTGATCCTGAGCGGCTTGTGATGTTCAACAATAGGCAGGGTTGGCTCAGACACGCTATGCGCACTCTGCTGAATCAAAAAGTTGGAACTGAGGAAAGAGACGACTCTTAAAACACATCAAGATGGTTGAAACAAATAAGCTATCCAATTATCTTCAAATCCATAAAGAGCAAAGGTCAAACCTCGGAGCTATCCGAAAACTGATCCATTGTGGCATCAAAAAACTCTTCAATGTCGTCACTTGTGCTAAGAAAAGGAACGTTGCTGACAGCAGCTTCTGAAAAATCAAGATTGGCTGCTTGCAAAGAATCTTCTGGGTACACTTCTGGGTACTCTTCTAAAATATGTCGCTTGATGATCGTGACACAAGAATTGAATCTTTGTGCAGCAACATGTTCTCGTAGGCCTGCCAAAGTATAGAGCAGATGGAAAGTGCAACGTAAATAAATATACACAAGTTCGCTGAAGCCAGTCCACCGGTACAAACTTACAGACGGCTGGAATATCGAAGCAATAAAGTTTCAATAGCGCAAAATTGCCATCAAAGGCAACAACTTGTGTTGGATATGACTTACTTACAACGAAAAAACCCAATTTCTCTCATTAGATAATTTTGTGAGATGCAGAGAAGATGATCGGATATGTGAGAAGTACATCGAAAGATTAAAAAAAAATCTTTCAGACGTTGCCATTTGAAAGAAGTATACATGAACGATTGTGAGGTATACCTGCGACAACCCGCAGAAGGGAATCTCTAAGCTGAGCAGGGTAGCTAGAAAACCCGGCGCCTAACAACGAAGACCAACCTGCTGCATCCATTTCCAAAACAGACTCCACCAATGTACGCGGCTTTCCACCGCCAGTAGTTTTCAATGGTGTAACAACGTAGCCACCACCTAATTCAGTGGGCATGCCACGTACACTGTCAACACCACCTCGACAAAGGGCAGCCAAATAATCTCAAAATACATGCGCATATTTCGCTTTGTCAGGCAACCACAAGACTCCGAATAATTGATAGAACACATTCAACCTCCCAAGTCAATGCATTAAGTTTTAAGAGAGCTCAAAGAATGACATCGATTGCTACTCACTATGGATATAGGCTCGAACAAGTCCAGCTTGAAGGGGATGTTTAAGTATCGACCTGTAAAAGACGGCTGGCATCAACCATTGAATCAGAGTGCAGCACAATTGTATTAAACGACCATTGCGAACATCCTACTTTTCAGTCAAATATACTGAATGCTGCTATAGGAAACGATTCACAATATCATAAAGTGATATTAGCAACCTCACCAAGCGCATTCCGCAAAAGATAACTTGAAAAGTTTCAGTTTATCCATAACAATGCCTTCGTAACGTCCATAGTTTTCGTTAATGTAGACAATACATGTTCACAATCATGTTGAACTGAAAAGAGAAATGCATGAAATTGACCACTCACAATAAGCACCACTCTCCTCTCGTTTCCAATAACGGGATAGGCAGAGATCTCTTTGTCGTGAAAACCTGGCATTCATATGTTTCAATTTAGAAAAGGACTAATAAGAAGTTCAAAGAATAAGAGAAGAAAGCACTGAAGGAAGAGCAGACCACGTATTCAAACAAGAAAACCAAATTTAATTGATATCGATGATATTTTATAAAACGCCTTACATCCAAAAAGAAAAGGAAAAAAACACAAGAAGCACTCTGCATTCCACAACATAAAATGATTGGAATACAATCTTGAAGGAGAGCATTTGTGCACTCATAAACTTTTTGACAACAGATCATTAACTTACCCCCAATCTTGCCGAAGTCTAATGTACACAACATCTGAGTGACCATCAATAACTTCAATTACAGATGCGCATTCAAGAGTGTGATCCCATCTGGAATGCATAGCAAGTGAGAATGAGTTAACCACTTTGAGCTCTAATGCCTTTCGCGTAGGGTTCAACCAGCATTATCAGAGTGACGCCTGCATCCGAAATGATGCTATTCGAAATTGAGGATAGCGAACTATCATAGAAATTTGCTGTAAAAATAATAAATTAAAATAGATAAAATGCAGATATAGCATTGTTGAGTTTTGAGTTACCAAAACTTACTGCTGACGTTCCGGTCCATAGTCCATAATAAGATTAAATATCTGATCAGCAGGAGCATTCACCACTCCGACTGCTTTCATAACTGGTAACTGCAGTCATTCACAGCAAAATTTGCATCAAGGTTCTAACATATTCCACGGCACAAGTACCCTTGGAAATCGAATTCAGTTAAATTGAATTTTACAGACACAATACAGCGCTAATAAAGAAGGCAGACATATGAGTCATGGCCTGAAAGCTAGAATACCTTGTATACAAAAGGAAAGCTCGAAGCTTCCTTAAAGAATCTCAATCCTGCACGTAAGATACAAACCCATCATTGCTTCAGTTTGAAAAATTCCCATAAGTAATGAACGATTTTTGTAGACTTGCTCACCTCAGTCAACCCTGTGAAATTACTGACCAATCCAGAAATCAGCTCGACCAGGGCCATGTTTGTAATCTTGCAAGTGTTATCCATACACTGAAATGAAACAAGGAGTACCATTTTCACAGCGCACTAACTTCCATTTTGACGCCTGCCCACCATCTGTTGATTGGAGATCTGTAAATCTTTGAGAACTGGAGCTCTTTGCTAGAGTTGGCGATTCTGCCCAAGCCAATACACGAGTCGTGAGCTCATTCTCTTTTAGCGATAACATAGGAAAAACCAGTTGCACAATGAATTATCTATTCGTTTTTCATTACATCAATCCAAACTAAAAAAGATGTTGTGTACAGCCAATACGTCTAAAATAGAAAACCTATTTAGCTCCTTTAACACAAAGAGATAAATTGACCATGGCCAATGGTAGTCAAGCTGGCGTAAGATTTCTCTCTCTGCCAATGAAACATGGGTGACTCGGGTTCCAGCCTTGGTGACGCTGCTGGACTTGTATCGCCCACACTTCATGCATAGCATTCCAGCACATTGCATAAATGAGTTTCGTGAATCAAAATGAGCAAAAGGCGAAGGACATCAACGTGTAAGAACTTGTAACTTTTTACCATTGCTTCCGGTTAGCGCGAGACGATAACGTTGTCAACGACAGATCTAAGATTCAACATGTTTACTAATGCAAACATATTAGCGATTATTTTAAAGTTTATCAACTTAAAATACTGACGAGTATTGACTCTTACAATTGCTCGCCAAGATGAGCGTATGCAGGGCTGATAGTGGAAGGACATGGCTCAGCCGGGACAAATTCAAATGGCTGAACATTTCCAAACCAATTAGAGTAAATCGGCCAACATTAATAAGAACAGTAAAATAATAACAAAACAAAAAAACAAAAATAAAACAAACGAGATGTGAATATGAGAAAGGTATAAAAAAAATATCTGACTACTAATTGGTGAGGCTTCGACTAACCCGTCCAAGAGAGGAAGTAAAAGCCTTCAGCCACTCTGCAATTTCCTCACTATTCAGAGCTCCAACCTAGTGACCAAAGTTGTTAATAATCAGCGAGGCGCACTAACACGCTCAACAACGTTTTGGGTTAATTACATTGAAAGTATACAGCAGCTTTCCATGTAATACCTACACATTTCTTTCCAGCTTTCCCTCAAATTAGTTGACGGATTCCTGTCATTGCCACTAGAGAAAATTCTGCAGAGGCGTATCACTAGCATGCCAAGGTATCAACAAAAGATAGTGTGCTCGCTATTTCCAGACTTACAAGAACCTCCTTCTTGGCATCAGTCACAGTCACATTGTATAGGCGTAGTGTGTACAAAACCTGCGATACAAGCAGATAATTCCATTGTTTCATTATGAAAACCACAGAAAAAAAAAAAAAAAAAAAAAAAAAAAAAAAAGCAAATCAATAAATTGCACACTATACAAACTTATTGGCATTTGTCATGCACTCCAGAAGTTGTGTTCTTCCATTGATACATGCTGCAACGAACAGTCATGAATATTATCAACGAGAGCACTGTGGAAACTTCTTTATGACGCAAAGATATACTATCACGCGCTGTTCAGGTTAAATATACTGAAATGTCTTCTGTTCGCTTATATTGAAAAGAGTACTATTGTAAAAACTCAATCGTATGAAAACACTACATTTGACAATCACTGCACATGGACGGAGTTCCTGCAATCACAAGAGAGATTGAGACCTAACACACACAAGAATTTCTGATTCTAAGAATCACATATGAAAATATGATGTAAATATACCTTGTCGTTCACAATCTGTCTGCCTGTGTCTTCGACACGATGATCCACGTCGAGGATTCCGGATCGTAGTGTGACCTGATAATAATGACCATCAGCAGCACTTTGATCGACATAACTAGACACTGACTGATGAAAAGAATGTACTCCAAAGGTTAGAAGAGTTCGTTTCTAATCGTCAGAGAATTTTAAAGAACTAGAGTTGTCAAAATTTACTTCGTTTTCAGCTGAATTAAAAGACTTCCTCACCACTTTACCTTTTCCTCCATCTCTATGCTTTACAGCTTCAGAATATATGTTTCATAGGTCAGAATTTGACAAACTGCTAAGTAAAAGCGGAAAAAAGTGGATACCAGGTTGGAAAATCATGTTCGATCCATTCCACTTATTCTTTAGAGAAGAAATCCACATTCAAATGCACCATCCATAAAAGCCGAGCTCTTTAAAAAACAATGCACACAGCAATAAAATCAAAGAGTCTGCAATTGAGAGCATTATAATTTGAAAAAATCAACCGATGTAATAATATTTCTCCGTCAATAGTTAGAGGAAGTTTGATCATTACAGGATACCATGCTGTGATTGAATTTAGACTCTGAAATTGCCCGATGCAATGTTGGGATTTGAAGAATTGGACAACTCTGAGCCTTCCACAGTAATTTGAACCATTTTGAAGGATTATTAACATTCCAATGAGATAAGTTATTGTATTCCTACGACCAGCTGCTCTTCTTCCTCACGGCCTTGCAGATCCCGACCCACACCAGAGGAACTACGCACAGCAGCTCTAAAACTCTTGGACAATTAGTGATCCGATCAAACCAAAGCACACCGATAGAGAAGGCAACGCACCAGATCTCCTTTGTGCCGACACTGTGAGAAGTGGCGGCCTGACAAGACGCAGAATGTCTGAATGCAGTAGACTCCTCCTTGTCGACTCGGACCGAAACTGTACAAATAGCCCTCAATTGTACTCGCCATGACTCCTCAACCGGATTCGCCACCTTCATCTGTGCTCCGCTGCCGATCACTTAACACTCTCGCTTCCAGCTACCAAATACCTAGCTAAATCCATGACAGAAATATACTTAAAATGGAGGTCGATCCATCGGGCTCCTCGGGGGGTGGGGAGCTTCACTGGGACGGCAAGCTCTGAAGTATGCACAAAAACGAGTCCAATACTGCTCCGCGCAGAATTCCGAGACACTAGTTAGGGCGGCGTAGAAGTCGAGGTACAGCAATCCTACGCACGGTTACATCCGTGAACTCGCTTTCGTCATGCAGTTGTTGGAGCTTGCCTCCATGTACCACGCGACGGGACGCGCGATTTATCACTTCGTTTTGGTGCAGGATTGGAATCCCCACCAGAATGTTGGAACAGCTCGACTACAGCTCCGTGAACCTGGAGAGGCCCGAATTATTGCCCAGAATCAGGATGGAACAGTCGAGGCTTATCTGTCAGTAAGAAGATCTTAATGAGATGGTCAGATCAGTCTACGAAGGGGACAACATTGGCACTTGTTTAAAATCCATGCCTGTGAGGAAAAGGACATAATAATAGTGTAAAATAATTTTTTAAATAACAAAAATCATAATTGTCAAGTTGCACGTAGCTTTCTCAATCTTCTCAGAGAGAATCATCTACTATCGTCTTTGGTTTGTTATCCTTATTGCTTTTTCAATCTAAAATTTGTTTATTTATTTTATGTACATAAAAAAGTAACTGGAAAAGTTAGAATTCTATATTCTGTGTTAACTCTTTCTGTAAGTATCAATATGTTTTCTTTTAAAATACACAGAATAAGACATAGTTTTAAGTTCTACTTATGTTTTAAATGTTTTGTAATAAATCAGTGCTTTCAAGTTCTTAAGTATGTTAATATAGTAAGGAAGGATGCATCTAATGTGCATGACAAATAACAAAAATAAAAATATTGAAGATTAAAAAAATGAGGTTTAAAGAATTTTTTGCAATTAGTCAAAATCTTAGAATTGATTGTGGTAATGATTTTATTGTCCAAATTTCTTGCAATCACTAAAGAAAAGACAACAAAAGAAAAAGATAAATAAATCAAAGTTGAAGTGTGTAATCCCCACTTCTAATTTGTGCATACTTCAAGGCATCTTTGTTTTGCATCATTGCCAAGTTTTTCTATAGCCATTGGTGTGGCATCCTAAAAATATTAAACTTAATCATGTAATACTTGAGCCAAAACTCTTGAATCATCATAGTCAATAATTGGATCCAACACATTCGTCACCATTAATGGTGACAAGGGTTCTTTGCCATACAATAGCAAATAAAGACTAAAAGGTACAAGAAATGTTTTTAAACCAAACCAATAAGCCATTTCTATCTAAGGCAACTTCAAATCCTAATCTTTGTTAGTTGCTTACCAATAAATTATATTTAAAAAAATTACTCAATGGACACAAATGAACCAATGTAGACCATTTGTTTTAACAAAGATTGATTTCAAACAATTTGAAACTTTAACAATTTTGACAACTATTGTATCATTGTCCCTATGATATGTTTACAACTATTGTATGTTTACAACTATTGTATCATTGTCCCCATTTTGTATCAATTACTAACACGGGTAGTTGAAGTCACGGGAGATGTAAGAAGGAGAAGAATGAATGCGCTCTGCTCTAGCACTTTGCTACGACTTGGGACTCGGTCGAATGATTTGGTAGTTTCCAATTGTTCCATGGAAACTGTCAGGTTTCAGAAGACATGTCCAATTCTATACAGTTCGTTGTTTCTTAAACTGATCTGAAGAATGCGATAGAGGTCTTTTGTCCATGTTAATTGAGCAAAACAGCAGAATCCCCCCAAAAAATGATGAATGAAATGCAATGGACCAGCGAATTTTCGCAGCACTTAGCCACCACTGTATTTTCCTTGGAGGTCAGATCTAGAGGGAGAAATGGGTACAGAGGACAGGTGGACAGAGGCCTTGCGTACGATTTGAAGCCCTCCGCGGATGTGTTGGGAAATGCCGCGTAGTTCTGGATAGGTGTGGCTTGTTTCTCAGGGGTGAACTTGAAAAGGAGGATGTGTTTTATGATGCTATCGATTGCAAATACCTACCAGAGTCTGCACCCTGCTTTGTCTCACAATCCTCTTCACTATTATGGGCTCCAAACGCCTCTGCTCGGAATCGTGGAAATTAACTCCACCCCAAATTTATTACAAATAAAAATGTAAATAAAAAACCAATGATGCTCGAGCACGGGCGGTGCTTGTCTCTTGCTCGTAAGTTGCTTGCATAGCTTCGTTTAGAAATTATTTTCTGCCAGTGTGTAGCATGCCATGTACTAATTATTCGATCCAGTTACTCTGCTCGATCTTTAAACTCGTTTCCTTGTACAAACTATTTTTGGAATGTACAGGGAGGATATTTCTTGAACCAACTCACAGGGGTATCTGCTTTTGTGAATATATGTTGATTTGAAGTCCTAGGGATTCACATATCTGGCCGGGCGCCTCGCGACTCACAATGAAGGGAGAAGTGATGTGATGATGACAAAAAACACTTGTCTCTGGTTCATTAAAAGACAGTCTTCACACTATTTGTGGAGCCTTGTTAACCATCACATCACTTCTCCCTTCATTAGACTTTCACGGTCCTTAGGAATCCCCACCTTACGTAATTGGTGCCGGATTTTAAGGCCGAAATGATTCAATCTTATGGAAGTAGTCACAGATGACATAACGTTGAATTTATGGAAGTATCCATATTCGCTGTAAATAGGTGTGATTCTGGGTGATGAATCATAGTTGGCAAAACACTCTTTGAGACTACACTTATATGAGAATAATCCATGGGATTCCCAAGGAATTACAGCCGGACGAAATCATTCGCAGAGCACAACTTGTATGACTGGCAGGTACGTCATAGGTATTGTACTTTGTTTCTGAAAGGTTTGGTTATCTTCCTAGTCCAGCACTTGAAAAAGTACAACAGAAGCTAGTACCACTAGCGGCAGGTGTGGGCAGCATGCGGTTGCATTTTCCCCAAGATGTTTGGATAATCTTTTAGATATTTATAATAGAATACATACTTTCTCAAAAATGGCAACGAACATGTTGGAATGTGAAGCTGCTCCTTCCCACAGATCGATAACGACAAATTTTTTTGACTGTCAGAATTTAAAAGCTAGAAATAGACGGGTGAAAGCTCCTATTGGGAGCATTTACATTTGTCCCAGACTTGGAGATTGGAGATTAGTCTCCAAAAATTGGCGAAGGCCCGTGATGCAATACAGCAGCCCAGCTGCGATGGAATGGTCACAAAAACAAAACCAAACCCTACATTCATCTGATGAGCCAGTGCAAAGCTCAAGACTTTCGACTACTTGGCCCCATGACTATCAAGAACCGTCAACACTTCACAAGCATTGAAGGGACTATACCTGCCGAATTGATAAGCCATAACCCCACAAACTACTGTGCAGGTGCAGGGTTGTTCCCAGCACATAGTCTTAAAAATAGATACACTGCAAGAGACTGATCCAATCGTGGAGCCTAACAATAAAAAGGTCTCTTAGATTCTTCAGATCGAAGTGGACCTTATAAAGCAGAAGCAGGGGAGACTGGAACTACACTGGCTACCCAATCCTCGACTTGGCCACGCGTATTAATCTCCACATTCGTATCCAGACTCACGGCCGTTACCGTAACCTGCACTCATTACCCCAGGCCATGATATAAGTGTTTGGAGTTAGTGTGAGAATGATTGCGATTCGACAAGAAACAAGACTTGATTACAGGAAGTCCATTAACTTTTTTTGGAAAGAAAGAAAGCAAGCCTAAAGAGAAAAACTCAAGCATGCCAAGAAATACATGAAATAAATAGGGACACTCTTACTACCCAGACACATTGAAATCCTAGAGGCGAAGGAAATAGAGAAGCCAATAGACTTCTAAATTTAAGGAGTTAGACTACTTACATAGCCTAGTTCCAACGCTCCAAAGTCATGATCAGGGGCAACCTCTCCAATTTCTTGCTCCGATCCCTGTGCACGTGCGACAGAAACCGAAATAAGGGGTTTGCGAGCAAACATTCTAAGTCAGAACCCGGAAGTGAATGCAAGACAGCCGACAGAAATAAACATTAGAAATAAATGACACATGGTTGGCAACGCATGCAAAAATAAGAGATGAGTGGTAAGATGAGCGCATGGTGATATGCATCTGAGCTTAAAGCGAGATACGCAATAGACTTACTTCTAGACGAAAGCGCATCCTTGGGGAAGGTTCCTTGTCGGGCTCTTCATTAGCCCCTACTGATTCAACATCGGGATTTTGCTTCTTAAAATTGGCACGCCTGGCTGCTCCCTGCTCACATCAATTACAGCATCCATTAATGACACGATACGCACCAACGTACATGTTCATTTACAAGATATAATTGCCACTCTTACCCCTCTTCAGCACACAAGTCTGTCTCTCTGACTTCCAAACAATAAGTCGAATACACAAGCAAATATGGGAGCTCCTGAAACTGCAAGAAGCCAAACCAAGCGACACAGTGTAGGAATAACAGTCCGATCCATGCATATTAAAATGCTGTATATGAAGATACATACCGCAGCAGAGGCAGCAAGTCCAAGCTGTGCCATCTGTAGACCAATGCCCGAGTCCTTCAGCATTTGCATACGTTTCTCCTGAGTCACTTTCTTCCATTTTAAGGGCAATCGGGAAGTACCTTGCCTTGTCACCTTGTACCCCTGCCAGATTCATGGTCCTACTGGATGAGCATCTAGCCAATAAGAGCACTCAAGAAATTAAGGTCAGTCTCACAGCACAGACGGGATTCCTGCCCCTAATTGTTAAAATGAAGACTAAAGACCTAACATCAATTTATCACGTTGTGCGCATCCCAAAGAAAGAGGCTGTAACAGAAGTTGGGTTTTACATGTAACGCAATTCGCACATAAATGTCTGTGTCCTTGCGAAGGAATCGAAATTTGGCCATTCTTGGAACAATGTACAGTTAATTACTGTAAAAAAGGAAAGATGTTCATTTTACCTTGTGCTCCAACGGATCTGTTGGTATATCAACATTAAAAAAGAAACCTTCGGGATATATTCCTCCCTGGATGTCTCGCAGAGCCGCTTTTATCAATGGAAGACTCACAGTTGCTGCTGATTTAAAATCGTTATCATTGCTCTTGCCTCCTCTTTTCCTGGACGTTCAGAGGATATCAGCAAACAGGAGAACATGTTTTAACAACTGAATTTAAAGTCTCTGACTTGGGTGGCAGGATGCAGAAACAAAATCTGAATTTCAAATACGAGATCAGCGATGCTGAAATCGTACAAGGCCATACCACAATTTGAACATAAGAAAAAGGCTGCGTATTATAAGGTACCAGTCTAGAGAAAGTGCAATCGCGGGTACACCGTTGATAAATGCTTCACGTGCTCCTGCCACTGTACCTGAGTATACACTGCGCGAATCATCTCTCTTAGACTCCAAAATAATTTCAATCTCTACAGTTATAGAGTTGTATAAATACTGCAATACATTCAATCGGACTATGCATCCACGGACATGTCATGTTCACCCATTTCTCTACAGTTATTGGTAAAGATCATACCTACGAGCTTAGCAGGACATTCCAGCAAAAGATGCGTTCTGAACACTGGCAGTCATTTCTAGTTATCAAGATTGAAAGTACGGTAAGAATGTAAAGGGCATACATGTGGTAACCACAGTTGGAGCCTTTGTTGATACCACTGACCACCTGAATTTCCAACCCCATAAAAAGTTAGATTACCCTTGTGGAAATGTTCTCTGAAGACCAGCAGCAGGTCGAAAGACCCCAAACAGACGAACCATCAGCAGGGACCTCTGAACAAAAGCGTATGGCTTTTGTCAAGAAGTCTGTAATACAACCCCACAACTTCGTCAGACTATAATAGGGATAATATTACCAAGGTCGGTTTCGCCCATGGGAAAATAGACGATGTCAATGCCAACGAGACACAATCAGCAGGGGTTCCTGCTCAAGACAGCGACAAATTATCGTAAGCAATGTAGAATTGGACAATTCATTATCATCATCAAGACATTGTACACATTGCGAATGATGAATTCTTAGGTGATCCACAATCAAATACTAAAATTATGAAAAGTGCCTGTAAACGTCTGAACAGAATTTTCGATGCATTAGGGTTGCACCACAATAACCGTATTAGCAACCATGCTGAAATCCGCCCAGAAAACTAATGATGAACAAATAGAAAGTTCTTTAGCTTAAAACTCCGGACGCATGCTAAACATAACGGATGTTGACGACTTCGGCATAAGACAACCAAGGACTTACCGGAGGTTTCAAATGCTGTGGCGCCCAGGATGTTCACCGACGAAACCTCTAAAACGCTCCTGTGTGTAATGCTATGAGACACGCCTGACTGTTCTCTGCAACAAAAACACGGAAATTACAGTAAAGATCGAGTGCCTTGAAATTCGAAGCAAAAATCAATAAAGGATCAACGTCTTGTATTTCCACTTCCACAGATTCGCACTTAGAACTGGTAGAACCGCATAAAATTCCTAGTTTTCAGTAAAAAAATCAAAATAAAAAATTATGTGTTGAACACTGCATGCCCAAGCATATTAAATCCCACTTGGCCCTCCCACCATACTCAGTCATCCATGGTTACAGTATCTATTGGGTGGTCTCGAATTTGACAAGGGAAGAAACTCACGAATCCGGGGCGCAAATGAAGACGTTACAGCTCACATCCTCGATCAAGACGGCAACCAAGGCCCGTAATCCTGGCGCATTGATCCCATCGTCATTCGTAACTAACACGTTCGGCAGGCCATTGTGCTGAGCCTTGGCAACGACGCCACTTGATACAGCCTCCTCCTCCGCCTCCTCCACAGCATCCGCTCGCAGGTGCTTCATAAAGCTGGGCGGCAGCTGGCCTCCGGTGTACATGATGGCCGACTGCACGCACAACCCTCAAAACACAAACCTCTCGAGGATCCCACACCGAATCCCCAACCTCCCCCTCGAAATTCCCTCAAAAAATTGTTCGAAAATTCATAATTCAAACATCAACGAGGTGCTCCAGCGTGCTATGCAGAGCGAATACGTCGCAGTGGATTCGTTACAGCAATTCCGATCAGGCAGTGTGAACTGCGTGGATTCCTCGACGAGCAGAGTTTCGAAGACTTGGTGAGGCAGAGGAGAGAAAGCAAGAGAGGGAGAGAGAGAGAGAGAGAGAGAGACCGGGTCTCGCTCATCGAGGGGGTATTCCCACCCTGGATCGAGCCCCACCCGGCCCGCTTTTTCTCGAGGCGCCAGCTCAGACCTTTGAGCGTGGATTTTTCTTGCTGGCGTCTCCGAAGGTATCTTTTCACCGTTTAGTTGAATTATGCTGAAAAGATTCGATTTAGAACAAAAGAGATGAATTTGTTTCTATATTTGTGCAAGGATCTTGCAATTATATATATTTTAAATTTATATATATATATATTATTAATATAAATTTAATATAGATATTATATATTAATAATATAATATAATATATATTTATATATATTACATATTAATAATATCAATTTATATATATTATTAATTATATATATGTTAAATATAAATATATATATATATATATATATATATATTAGAAAGATTTAGTGTTTATTTTTTATATAAGATATGTGGATATTGTAAATTTATATAAATGTTGGATTATATATATATATATATATATATATATATATATATATAAGTTTTTGTAAAGTCATTAAAGAAAATAGTCTCAAATGTTATACTAGTATAGAAGTATTCAATATTGTATCAAAACTCAATATTATAAAAATTTGATAAAGATTATTATTGCAAGAATTAATTTTATATTATAATTTTTATTCTTCTATGTAATAATCTCATATATAAGCATCCTTCAAAACAAAGAATATTGTCCTTGAATTCAAACTTAGAAGTATCACAAAATCTAAAAGAATTATTTTTAATATCATGCATAAGAAGATTTGAAGACATATTCAATTGAGTTTGACTAAGAAATATTAAATCAATATTCAATGTTGAATAAATTGCTTAAAGATGGAATTTCTTTGGCTTCAAAAGAATTTTTAGTTGTTAATTAAAGACTATATATCATTCTTTTGGTGCAAGATAAGGACATTTAAAATTTGCATCTAATAAAAAAATGTTAGTTATATGATAGATAAATGATATTAAATAGCAATTTTTACAAGGATATGGTCCAATATGCTTTGCAATAATTTCAAACTTGTACTAACATGAAATATTTGAGTTTCTTATGATCTATATAAATAGTTACTACATTAAAAGCATCTTCTAGATAATGACATTATTCTTGAAATATATCTATAGTTGCAAAAAATTCTTTGTTGTGGATCTTGTACTTAATCTCAATTTCTGAAAATTTTCTTTAATAAAAAAACTAATGGATGAGGTTTATCATTTAATTCCATTTGTGACAATACCAAACTAAAAGAAAAATCGAATGTATTCATTTTTTAAAAAAATACATTATAAATTTTAATGCAATATATGATTGGTGTTTTAGTAAAACTTGTCTTCAAAGCTTCTAATGATGCTTCAATTTTTTTGTTCTATTGAAATTTTTCTTTAGAAGTCAAATGTGTCTGTTGATTTGGAACTTGATAAATATTTTTTATAAAAATAGATAGTAATTGACAAATCTCAAAAAATATTAGACATCTTATATTGTTTTTAGAATCTTCCAGTCTATAATAGCTTAAAATTTCTTTAGATCTATCATAAGTCTATCGTTTAAATTGAAATAACTTAAGAAATCAATTTGAATTGTGTGAAATATATACTTTTTAATCTTAGTATATTATCTTGCATCTCTAAATTATAACAAATGACAAATATGATGTTCATATTCTTTTGTGTTATTAAAATAGAATAAAATTTTATCTACATACTTATAAATAAATTCATCTAAAAATTCTTGAAAAAAAATATTCATTAGATGTTGAAAAGTAATTGGAAAATTTGTGAAGCCGAAATGCATGACATTATATTTAAAATATTCATACGTGTTTTGAAATATATCTTTTATTCATCTATTTTTTGAATATCTACTAGATTATGTGCTCTTTCTAGATCTATTTTTATATAGATCTTCATTTTATTTAATTGATCGAATAGTCCTAATATGAAAGATAGGGGGTATCTATTCTTAATAATAAACTTATTGATTCTTTAATAATCCACATTCATTTGCAATGATCAATTTTTTTTCCTTCACAAATAAGATAAAAATTCATGCTAGAGATTTTGAATGGCTTATAAAAATCCTAGCTAAGTTAATATTAATATATTTTTGAAGTAAAGCCAAATCATTTTGTAATAACCTATAGATTGGTTGAAATGGAAATTAAGCTCTTTCTTAAAAATTAATTAAGAATTCATAATGACAATGTATTGTCAAAATATTTACATCTATTTCATCAAAGATAATTTGATAATTATTATAATAAATTAAAATATAATTTAAAATTATTCCATTATTAGAAATAAATATAGCATGAATAATAAAAGATGATCATTTTTTTTGCAATATACATAAAAGCTCTTCTACCTAAAAATAAGAGTTTGATTATACTAGACTTATGACTTTCTATTTGGTTAATAAAGATCATAGTTGTGCTTTGGAAAAAATCAAGCTTACAAGAAATACAATCTATTTATGGATTATATTTTTTAGCTATAATAAAATCTAAAATTAGTAAATTAAATAAATATTTAATAATATTAAATATGATTAACCTATCATAACCATTTATTTTTATATATACAACATTATTTTCATGTGTAATATCTCTAAAAGACAAAAGACAACTATCTATGATTTCTATATGCATAGATTTAGTTTTTTTTACCAAAGGTATTTCATATCTTTTCACAAAGTTTTTATCTAAAATACAAGTTGTGGTTTCTAAATCAATATAATAGAGGCTTTGTAATTTTTTAATCTTGAATAAATATCTATACTAAAATATGATAAAGATTTTGAAGAGAAAATGAGACCCTTACTAAGTATTGCATATGATTCCAGCCACATAATCCTTATTGTAGTTGAAAAACTTCTTTTCTAATGTATTGTCTTCTTTGACAACTATGATCTTTATTTTGTAGTTATGTTGCTTCTTTAAATAATATTAGAAAATATACTTACATTTTCTATATTATAAGCATGATCCATCTTGATAATGCCAAATTTGCTCTTACGTGCAATTGTTTCTTTTTCTTTCTTTTACTTGCTCTTTGTTTTTCTTCTTTGTTCTTATTAAATACATCTTTCACTTTATATTATCAATTATAAACAACTCTTAATTAAATTTATCTTATAATTTGAATTAAAAACTATATTTTATCATCATAAATTGCTCTAAAATATAACTAATAATATTTACTTCAATAAAAGATAGTGCAACAATTCTAGATATTTAAATTATAATATTCAACTTATATAATGTATGGAATCAATATTGATATTACTAGTATATTGTACCAATAGAATCATATGTATTTAAACTTCCAAAGGCTATAAGAATCATTACTATGGCTCTTTTCTACACTTAAAAAGATTCTCAAGCTACTACTTGGTTCTTGCCTACCATCTACTCAATCTACTCTAATCTTGCATAGAAAAAAAAGAAAAAAAGAAAATAAAACTAATTTTTATAGTGGTGCTTTTTGCTCTCTAATTTTTTTTGGTTTTGCTACTTCTTTGATTTTTAAAAACAAAGTCTTCCATTGAAAGAGCTCTCCTTTGTTGTAGCTATTGATGTCAACATCTGTAATGTATAATCAATGTCACTTATAGATCTTTATTACTATGTGTTACAAAAACTTTTTTATTCAATCAATTGGTTTTGCTATTGTAAATTTTTGGATTGAAAATGCCACTCAAATGCAATTACAACTATTAATCAGATTTTTTAGAATGACTAAAAGAAACTTAGGAGAACTAGGAAGGAGGCAAGTAAGTTGTAGGGCACATGGGTTAGAAACTCAAAAGCCATTCTTAAGTGGGCCCTCACTGATTTACATTGACATATGTAGGTGCTGAATTTTGTTTAAGGACTACCTCTCTATTCCCACTTTTCAACCATCACTTTTATCTCAAATATTTTTTTTATTGTCATGTATTACAATGTTTAATGTACATGATCATTAAAAAAAATAAAATAAAATAAAATAAATTTGCAAGTCATAATTTTTTTAAGGTAGTATTAAAATTTATATAAGAATATATAAAAGAGGTAATTTAAAGTTAAATATATCATATATATAATAAACTTTATTTCTAAAAATAAATAAGTTATATAAAATTAAGATGATAAATTAGATAATTAACTAATTTATTAATTATTTAATCTTATTATAACTATTTTTAATTTTTTAGAAGTATAAGCTTTAATTAAAATAGCATGAAAAATAATTTCAATAGTATTATTATTAAAAAAATATAAAATAAAATTCATATTAAATATTAAAAATTAAAAAAGATCTAAATTATAAACTTATTTTAAAGCATTATTAGAAAAAATTTCAAAGTTTAAGCTAATAAAATTAAATAATTATATATATATATATAATTTAAATAACTTTTAAAAAATAAAAAATAGTAAATTTTTTTAAAATAAATAAGTATTATCATAGGTTTTTTAAGGTAAGTAAATATTACCTTATGTAAGTTGTTAATGGTCAAAAGGCAACAAAAAAGTAAAGGGAAGTAACTAAGGTGGTAGCTAGGATTTAGGTGGTAGCTAGGATTTTAAGTGGCGGTTAGGATTTTAGTGGATGAAGCAAAGATGGATGAAGATGAAGTTCAGCCATAATAGATGTAAATTCTACATATAAGTAAAAAATATTAGAAGAAGGAGGTATCTCATTCTACACTTTTCTTGTGTGCAACTTTGTTGATTTCTACTCACTTATATCTTGCTTGTTGTATTTATTCAATAGGTTATGGATCCACTCACACTTTGTTGTGCCATTCAAGTAAGTTAATATCATTTTATTGTGATTGTACTTGTGTGGAATAGATCTTATAGTGTTTGCTGATGTTAGGATTTTTAAGATTAAAACTTGCATGTTGGACATGAAGAAGTGCTGACTTTGACCTTATAGATCTCTAACATTGCTTTGTGGGTTCTTATCTCCTAAGATTGAGAGTTTAAGACAT